CTTTAGTCAGACTCAAGCTGTCATTTAGACAGGACTCTATTGTTGGGCATGAATTCCACCAAATTCATTATGTTTTCACAAGCCCTTCTTCCCCACTACATTATAGTGGGCCTCCTGGCGGTGGTTATTCACTGTAAATCCCCTGTGTCTGGCATGGAGGAGAAACTGAAGAGGAATGTGTGAGGTAAGGGACAAACTTAGAAGAATGTTCACAGGATGGGGTGTGGGGGTGTGCACATGTGCTTTTGTTGTTTATTTTTTTAAAAAAACAAAAACAAAAAAACCCCACCAAAATGCTGGTTCAAATTGTTGTCTGATCTGATTTTAAACATAAAAAGTAATACATATAAAATCCAAAAGAAAATGGACTTAAGAAACAATTCTACTACTCCTTTGTTAAAACTTCTCAAATGGCAAGTCAGAGACAGCCTTTCAAACAAGTTATGAGTGAAATACATCATGCTGGGGGAGACCATAAATACAGTACATGATTGGCCATAAACAAGTGCAATGTGGCCTGGGAAATGTTCTGGAAACTGAAACCAAAAAGCCAAGAAAAACAAACACCCATAAAACAAAGACACTATATTGTAACAATGACGTGGAGGTCACATAATCATTGCAAAGCTGTGAACCATGGCCTCTCCATCTGTGTTTCCCTTGTCAAGATAAGACCGACAGCAGATTTCCCCTGAGAACCCAGCTTCATGGTTTGCTCTTTTCCACAATCCTAAACCAGGCAACCCACCAAAAGGTCTTGGAGCAGCCACTTGCAAGGCTTACAAAGTAGAAAGGTAACTGAGAGAAGCACCCCACCTTGAACCGCCAGAGGCACGGCCTAGAGCTGCTCATTAGCAGTGCAGCCCCCTCCAGTCTATGCCACCAGACCTCATCCCCTTGAGAGATTGTAAAGCCAAAAAGAGGCTTTGATTCAGTAACAAGGGGCTGTGGGGTGGAAGAAAGGCAGATGCCAGCCATGCCTAGAATCTTTGATGTCATGAAAAAAATGTCCAAGTGTTCACTACAGGTAAGTAAGTAAACATAAGCCAGCCTGTGTTTCTCTTGCTTATCAGGGAATCTGACCCTGCTGGTGATGATCTGGGAACCGCTCATTTCCAGTTCTATATATGCTTGCTTACCATCTTGAAAGCAGTTTTTTAGTGAACCTAGTAAACATTTCCCAACTTTCTACATTCGTAGAATGCTTATTAGCCCTGGGGAAACGGGAATTCTGGGAGAATGAAGACATGAAAGATCTGAGGTTATTACTTGGGCCAAGATCACTTGATTTGTGCAGTACAGCTTCTTGCCACTAGGCCACCAGAGCTGCCTCTAGATCACTCGATTTTGACCTCTCAGTACAGAACTCTTTAGGTTCCTTTGTGCCTTGAACATCATTTCAGCAGCTTAGACTACCTCGTTGGTCCTTGGCTATTCACTCAATGGCTTGCACAGGTGGTCAGAGATATCAATAAGATATAAAGTAAACCAACATGACATAAATTAAAAAAGAAAGTTTTCAAAAAACAACTTTGTGGAATGATAGCTATACGGTAAAGCCTCTTGCAAATTTTTTACATTTATCACCTCAATGGAGAAAAGTATTGAACATACCATGGACCACTAAGAAAACAAATAGGTGTGTCTTAAAGAGGGTGAAACCAAGTTTCTCCTTGGAGGCAAGAATTTTGAAGCTCCATCTCAAATACTTTGGGCACATGGCCAGGAGAGATCAGTCCTTGGAGAAGGACATCATACTTGGAAGGATGGAGGGACAGCCCAGGAGAGGAAGACCCTGGATGAGACAGATTCACCCAGTAACTGGGATAACCGGAGTAGATGTGTTGAAGTCAGTGAGACTGTCTCAGGACAGGGCAGGATTCAGAGCTATTGTACACAAGGATGCTATGGGTCATGGGCAACTCGACAACACATAACAAGAGCCACAATAATATCACCCCATTTAGGTCTCACAAAAACACTCCCAGGTGAATACTAACATTCCTGTTTTACAGGTGAGGATTTGGCAGAGCTGGGACTTGAACCTATATCTTTGCTAAAAGCCATTCTCTTGCCATTGGCTAACCTCCTCATCCAACTCCCCACCCTAGTCGTAACTGAGCCCAGGTTCAGAAGAGAAGCACTGTAACTTTATTCTGTGTGTTTTCACAGCATTTGGCTTTTTGTCCAAGGAGAAGGGGGCAGGGGGAATCACCTGAAGAATGACCTGTTTGCTGGGTCAGAATAATAAACACCTGACAGTTCCTCTCCCTGCTGTCTGAATTCAGCCCCCAGAGCCTTCACCTCTTTTGGTGACTGGCCCCCACCCCACACACCTGCTTACTCACTTTCTCATACAACTGTGCCCAGAACCTTCTTAACAAAAGCTCAGTGGACCAAATCCTTTAGAAAATTCTCATAACACTTTTGCCCAGATAAATCCAACAGGGATATTTCACATAAAAAGTCTTGTTCTGCATAATGGAAAAAATCTTGAGACTCCAATTAAACTTTAAAAGAGAATCTGTGAAATATTGCACACAATATGGAGCCATCTAGAACAAGTTATACTGAGTGACACAAATCAATCACAAAAGGACAATTATTATATAAGATCATTAATAAGTCACCATCTCAAGAGCATGGAAACAGCCCAGATGTCCAATCACAATCAGGTGGATTGAGAAATTATATAGAATGTTCCCACCATGGAATATTATGCAGCACGCAGGAGCAATGATTTTGTAAATTACTACCAAACTTGGGAGGGACTGGAGATCATTATGCTGAGTGAACTAACTCAGTCCCATAAGGACAAGCACTGTATAAAATCATGATTGGAGAATGAGTAAAAGGATCCAAGGAAGGGGGGGTGGAAGCAGAGGGATGAGGTGAGGGGGTTTAATCATAGGATTGTACAGTTTGATGGGTAGGGTGAAGGAGATGAGAAAGATCTGGTGAGAAAAACAATGTATTCAGACTTTGTAAGTAAAACAGTATAAAATTTGTTTAAAAAAATCACTAGTGAGGAGATATCATAAGGTTGCAAAATTCGGTGGTAAAGGAAATGGGAAAGATAAGTTGTTGTTGTTGTTGTTGTTGTTATTTTGTTGTTGTCGTTGTTGTTAGGTGCCACCGACTCGAGTATGACTCATAGCAAACTCCTGAACAAAAGAACTGAACCTAGTCCTGTCCTGCGTTATCCTCACACTTCCTGACACAGAAGAGCCCATTGTAGCAGGCACCTTGTCAATCCACCTGGTCAAGGTCTTCCTCTCCTTTGCTGGCCCTCCACCCTTTGCAACATCATGTCCCTCTCCAGGGAATAGCACCTTGTAGCAATATGTCCAAAGTATGTGGAGCAAAGCCTCATGACTCTTTCCTCCAAAGAGCATTCCAGCTGCACCCTCTCCAAGACATTCCTTTTCTTGCCTGTCCATGGGATGTTCAGTGCTCTTCTCCAACACCACAGTTCAAAGGTATCAATTCTTTTTTCTGTCATCCTTATTCACTGTCCAGGTCTCAGATGCATAGCTAGTAATAGAAAAGACCATGACCTTAACCAGACACACCTTGGTCCTCAAACTAATATCATTACTCCTCAATAATTTGGAGAGGTCCCTAACTGCAGATTTTCCCAGTGCAATGCACCTCCTTATTTCCTGAACACTTGTACCAAGGGTGTTAATTATGGACCCAAGCAAGATGAAGTTGTTGACAGTTTCAATCTCCTCTCCAACCATCAGGACACTGTCTATTGGTGCAGTGATAAGAATCTTCTTTTTCTTGCTATTGAGACACAATCCATACCAAAGGCTGCATTCCTTGATCTTCTGCAACAAGTGCTTCAAATCCTCCTCACTTTCAGCAAGCAAGGTTGTGTTATCTGCATGATGCAGTTTATTTTTTTTTATTTTATTTTATTTTTTTTTTATTTTGTGTGCCTGTACCGTCAAATCAGATCTGACTGGTACAGGAGGATATTGCGCCTCCTTCTCCGGCAGAGCATCTGGTGGATTCGAACCGTGTTCCTCTGGGATTGCAGTGCAGCTTCTTGCCACTAGGCCACCAGAGCTCCCCCATGATGCAGTTTATTGATAAGTCTGCCTCCAATCCTGATGCCACACTCCTCTTCATATAGCCTAATTTCTCAGATAATTTGCTCAGCATATATATTGTACAGATATGGAAAAAGAATACATCTCCGATGCACCCCTTTCCCAGTTCAAACAATGCAGTGCTTCCCTGTTCTGTTCACACAACAGCCTCCTGCTCCAGGTATAGGTTCCTCATGAGCACAATTAAGGGCTCTGGGATTCCCATTCTCCTCAATGTCAACGATCAATAGATACTTGAAAAGACCTTATAATGGTGGGTATAGTTCAATGGTGATTAATTTTAAAAACACAATGTATGGGAATGATTTTATTCAGCACAATGTCAAATTAATGAAAATGAAGGAAACACACACAAAACTCTCCACTATATACATGGTTGAAACACAATGTATATGAACAATCATATACCCACCAATAAAAAAAAAAAGAATTCTAAAAAAGGGATCATTAATAAAAAAAAATAAAAATAAAAAAGGGATCATTAATAAAGTAGGATTTACACACTGTCAATCTTGGAGTGTTAACTGGGGTGAGAAAGTAGAAAGAAGGGAGTAAGAATTAAAAACAAGATATACTAAGGAAAAAATAAATAGATAAGTTGGGTGAAAGCTGTATACAGTAAGGATCTGGGGAGAAAAAAGGAAAAGAGAGGAGAATTTGAAATTTTAAAAATGATATCAAAAAAAGAGATTTTATTTCATTTGAAAACCCACATCTTCCTCTGGGGATACTCATTCCTAATGCGCTCCTCCACCGGGTGCATGCTCAGCCTGGGCCCTGGGCCCAGGGTGTGCCTCATTCTGGCATCATCCCTGGAACCCCATGGTCTTCCATCGACCACCCCATCCTGCCCACCTCTGTAAGTGGAGGCCCATCACTCACCCAGCAGGGTCGTCTGCGGGTGGGTCCGACTGAGCCGCCCTCTCGAGCGGCCCCTCGAGTGTGGCAGCTCCCTGGCCTCGGCGGCGAGAAGGGCTGGTCCGAGGAGCAGCAGAAAGCAGCCCAGCTGCATCTTTCCCATTTTCACGAAGTTAAGGAGCAAGGCTGTGACACAAGAAGGAGAAGGAGGTCAGACATCTGAGTTACACCCCATCTGCTGCCCACCTTTCAATAGGCACTGTACTTTAAACGCCATTTGTGTGTTTGACCCACAGAATTTACCTCGTTCTATTAGGGTGGGTTACTTAAGTTCTGGGTTCTTCTAGGACATGGAATCAAGCATGCATAGCCAGATTTCATCATTGTTTTAGTCACATCAAGACTGAATGGAGAACTTGAAAGAAAAATTCTATCCTGATGTCTCTCTCATCCATTACCTCCCAAGAGGTAGTTCACTGTCAAGTTCTATATCTTGGATTTGAAATGGGAAAATTGGCTAAGGGTTCCAAGTAACACTATTTGTTAAGTCTAATAAAGTTGATGCTGTCGTTATTGTGTACTGTGGAGTTAAAACCGGTTCATAGCTGACCCTCCAGTGGGTTTTCAGAAGCAGGAATTACACGAGCTTGCCCATTGGCCCATCTCTCTCCTGCAGAGCATCTGGTGGATTTGAATCACATGACTTTGGGTTGGCAGCACAATTCCTTACCACTAGGCCACCAGAGCTCCCTAAATAAAGTTGATGGCCCTCAGTAACTCATAGATAGATAGGCTATTATATATTACATGTTAATATTACATTACACTGCATAGCAGCATGCACTCTCTGCCTTAGAGTTGGGACTAACTCTTAGCTGACCCTTCGGAGGGTTCTAGGAGAAAATTAATTGCATGGGATTAGATTGCCCACCTTTCTCTCAGGGAGTCACTGGAAGATTCACACCAACAGAGAGGTGCCAGCTTGGAGTTAGTAAGTACACTTTTCTATACACTATGCCACCAGAGCTCCCTATCATGCTCTTGTTGTTTTGTGAAGGCACACAGTTCAAATCTGCCAGCTGCTCTGTGGGAGAAGGAAGGGCAATCTCCTTCGATGCAATGAACTGCCTCTGAAAACACTTTTGAGGGTCAGTTGAGTCAGCTCCGACTCGATGGTACACAGCAATAACAACTGGTGGCCAAGTAAATATGAGGTTGCGCTACCAACTCTAAGGTGAGTGGTTCGAATTCACCAGCTGTTCCATGGCAGGCAAATGAGAAATCTCTTCCCATATGCTGTACAGCCTTTGAAAGCCACTGGAAGGCAGCTATGTGGCAGCTCCTACTTGGTGGCAAGGAGCAGGTGGTACATGATGTTATCTTTGGGGCTCTCTGGTGGCACAGTCCCTAAGGAGTTGCACTAACACATGATGGCACCTCGCTGGCAGTTCAAATCCACCAACAGCTTGGCTAGAAAAAGACGGGCAATCTCCTGTGTGATTTATAGCCCCTGAAAACCCAATGGAGCCTCAGCGATGAGTTGGTTCTGACTCAAAATCAATGTTATTGGCTGGGATTTTTAAATTTTTTTTCACTAGTTTATTTAAGCAATGTTGTTGTTGTTTACCATAGGGTTGGAACTGACCCATAGCTGACCCTCTGGCAGGTTTTTAGAGGCAGTTAACCGCATGGGAGGAGACTGCCCATCCTTCTCCCTCTGAGCGGCTGGTGGCTTTGAACGGCGTGCCTTCAGGATTGCAGTGCAGCTTCTTTCCACTAGGCCACCAAAGCTCCCTTAATATTATGTGTATTTCTATACTGCATAACCTCACTGTTATAAGGACCAACATCGGGTCTGGGAGAAAACTAAGAAGAGAGGGCATAAACAATGTACACTGCATTGAAGCAGATGAGGGAGAGAATTGTTTAAAAGGGATATATGACTAGGTATTATTTCCATAACAAGAGTCCATACTAAAGTGGACTGGGGTGAGGGGGGCGGATTGTATAACAATAAAACAATTTTTTTTTTCTTTTCAAAGAGAAAAGTGAACTGAGGGGAGATGTGGGCAGGGAGAAAAATGTGCAACAATGAATGAATGGATATCCAAGTTCTCTACAATCTTTAATTATAATCTCAATTTAAAAATATGACTATTCTGTATATTTCTTAATCCAGCCTGCCACATCCAGATAGGAAGAATGAATAAATATGGTTCACTGTTGACAGCTTGAATCCTGAGTTGAGCATTTGCTAGCTGTTGGTGGCTTTGGCCAACCTACTTAGCTGTCCTATCAGGTTACGGCAATAATGATTCTGACTAGTGGTAAGCAACTGTGCTCCCAACCTGGAGGCAGGAGGTTTGGATTTACCAGTTACTCTAAGAGAGAAGGATGGGCATTCTCCTCCTGTGTGATTTACTGTCCCTGAAAACCCTCTGAAGGGTCAGTTATGGGTCAATTTCAACTACAGAGTTGAACATCACCACCACAATAGACGTAAATAATTTTTTTCTATAATTATATTTTATTAATTTTCATAAACATTTACAGAGATTTTGGGTTTCCATTCATTCATTGTTGCACTAAGACGTAAATAATTTATAATAGTACCTAACATACAAGTGTTAAAATGAGGTGGTGGTGTTAGATGCCTGTCCAGTTGACTGCAATTCATAGTGACTCTATCAACAACAGTCCAAAACTGTATCCTTATCCAGCATCATCCTCCCAACCTCTTCACACTCAGACCCATTATTGCAGTTCCTGTTTCAGTCCATCTTGTTGAGAGTCTTCCTTCATTTCTCAGACCCTCTACTTTTCTAAGCATTTAGATGTGGATGGAGGCAGGGGTAACAAAAAGTAACAAACTCTGTTCCCTATGCTAGAGGACCAGAAAGAACAGGATCAAACTGTATGTTGAGCAAAAGTTGTCAGACACATAATTAGAACCCTGTGCTGAATCTCAGGGTACCCATGGGACATTTCAAACAAAGAAGCACTGCCTTTACTTGTTTTTCAGCTTTAGGTCTGGCCAGCAGCTGGCCTGGAGAAAGGAAAGACGCTAAGCAGGGAACATGGTCATTGTTGTTGTTGTTGTTAGGTGCCGTCGAGTCATTTGTGACTCATAGCGACCCTATGTACAACAGCCCTAAACCCTGCTCTATCCTGTGCCGATCACACTGCCTCTGACAGACCCATCCCAATTACCCCAGTTACTGAATCAATCCACCTCATAGAGGGTCTTCCCCTCCTGCACCGTTCCTCTACCCTCCCAAGCATGATATCCCTCTCCAAGGACCTCCAAAGTATGTCAGACGAAGCCCCAGAATCCTTGCCTCCAAGGAGTAGCCTGGTTTAACCCTCTCCAGG